TCTGAGATGAAGATGAATGGCCAGAAATCTGTCTGCACTCAAAGCCATGACACCGAAAAACGAGGCTGAAGAAAATAAGATCCCTGAGACAATAAATGCAGCGTACGTTGAACAAGTCGGGCCGCCTACAGAGTTCAACTGCAACCATTTGACTAACAACAAGACGTGTAAGGGATGAACCAATAGACCAACTCCAAGATCAGAGACAGCTGCACTTAAAAGAAGCGTTTTCAGAGTGTTTGACAGCGAAGAAGGCCTTCTCAGTGCTTGGATTGTGACACTGTTAAATATGACGGCAGTGATCGATAACAAAGCGTTTAAGACACAATTTGCAATGTGCCACGAATTTAACGATTCGTCTTCAATACTTGCGGGCTGAAATCGTAACTGCTCGTCGCAAAGTGGAGTTTTCATGATGTTCTCGACCAGATCAACAATGGTAGATGTTCTTGAACTTTGATATCCCAAACTTACCGGCAAACAGGAAGAGATTAAAAAGAATTCCCGCACAATTCTGAAAGAGCTATTACATAGCCTATGGCGGTCAAAAATGCAAGAAAACAGAATTGTGTTCTAATTTGATCCAAATATGGAGTCATCGAGACCAAACAGAGGAATAAAACCATATGTTATAAAACGCTTTGACAATTATGAACCACTGTTAGTGGCTCGTTCCTCTTGGCCTCACAACTAATAAATCATTAATGATAAAAAAATTGTGTACCGTTTACGTCGAAAACAATTCTTACGCCCACGACGATTGCCATAAAAATACTAAACGCCTGCAACGGGAACATCTTAATTTCCATCGACATCTTATTCAAAATGCGATCAATTATGTTCCAACTGTAAACAGACTCATAGTGGAAAATTAATCTGTATCCATCCTTCAATATGTAGCCAATAAAATCCTGGAAAAAAGACATCTGTTTCCAGATAAAAATTTGTGTAGAGCATACGATCTCCATCTGTAAATCTGCCTCAGAGTTATTTTCACAGAAGCATGATCCTAAGCTTAAGGATATAAGATAAGTCGGTCAGTGCTTGGTAATACAGTAATAGAAATTTCATTTTTTTCGGGTTATGTCTTCACCGCTAACCAAGACGTCATCTTCCACTTAATTTCATAATATTTGAGCAAACAATCTGAAAGGATCAAGTTTCCGAAAGAGTAATATGTTTTTGCATATGTTCTACAATTATTTCCTTTAACTTTTACATCTAATTGGATGACTAATTTTCCATTAGTCCAGTGAAAATAAAAAAAAGAAAGAGATTGCACTCCAAACAAGCTCAGCGATAAATATAGCGGTTGTTTAATAGAGACTGCATTGAGAACCTGCGAAAATGACGAGCTAAAATTTTAAATTAGAAAGCACTTAGTTCACGCTTTTCCAGGCGATTAAATTAAGTTTCCGCTGTCGTACGCTGTGTCCGGCAAAAACTGTCTCGCAAAGAACAAACCTTTTTCCGTCTTGTCAGAAATACAAACATTCATTCATTCATTCATTCAGTCTGTCGCGCGATAATTGAGTCAAAATGGAAGTCTCTGAAAAATAACATCGTTGAGTCTGTCGCGCGAATTGAAAAAAATAACATCGTTGAAAGAAAGATTGATATCAGCCAGTCTCGCGGAACTTTGAAAGTGAGGTGCACGAAGATTCTATCGAACATGTTTGATTAAATATGCGCATGCACGACCTAAGTGATGTTTATGATAAGAATACGACTTTCTTACTAACTTTCGAGTTTAAAAGTCAAAGTTAAAATGCTGGATTAAGATCGTCCAATTTTTCTTTTTCTGACAATGCATAACGTGTTGGATTTTGTGCGTAAGGTATTACTGCTTTACAAAAGCCACGAGATATGAAGGCGTCATTATCAGTCTAATTACTAAAAACTTAGTGGGCTTAAAAAAGTGATGACAGTCTTAAAAATCACCTGAAAATTTAACCTAGCGTCTAAAAAAATAACCTTCGAGTCATTTCTCCGCAATTTCCTGATTGGTCATTTATGATTGGATGTTTGATATTCCAGCTGTAACTGAGTCAAAATGGAGTTGATAAGTCACTCTCTAATGCCAGTTTCAATTTTATTAGACTACGCACCCTGCTTTTCGGCGAAGTCCGTCGCACGAGTTAAAAAAAAAAAAAAGATTGTCGAAAGAAAAATTGATATCAGCGAGTCGCGCAGAAATTTGAGAGTGAGGTGCGCGAAGATTCTATCGAACATGTTTGATCAAATGTGCGCATGCGCGACCCGAGTGATGTTTATGACAAGAATACGACTTTCTTACTAACTTCCGAGTTTAAAAGCTAATTGCATTTGTCTAATCACTCTTTCACAATTCTACTGACAACTGTATAATTAATCCTTAACACTAATGAGGTCTTAAATTCGCTATGGTTTTCAAGGAAACTACGGTCGCGTATACGCGTACCTGTCTTTTACACTCCAAACAATAAAAAAGAAAGAGCAGTAACCAACACATTCGTCAATCGAGATAAATTTCTGATGAGTTTTAACAATTCTTGACTTCGGCGCTAATGCAACGTCTAAGGGCTAGGCTGGAAAATGGTGGTTTTCTTGGTCTGGAGTATTCCCCTATCCCTAATCTGGTGTCTTTTTGCATATCGTTTTCAAATCGATCTTCTCAGATGTGAGTTGGAGATAAATTTCGCAGAATGCTTATCACAGCCCGTCGAACGTGCTTTATCTTCCAGCAGTAAATTAGAGGGTTTATTGACGAGTTTAGAAATACCAGAGTCCATGAAGATACCGCAGATATCTTGAAAGTGGCGTTTAATCGACCAGAATCTGGTGACACGGCAAAAATGCAAAGTAACGGCAAGTAACAGATCAGAAACACGAGATATACATAAAATGTGCAGACCGCTGATTTTTTGCCTCTAGCAAAATTTGTGACCATCTCGCCATTTACTGGTTGTTGGACTTTTATTTGTTTTTGGTGGCGGATCACGGTTAAATATATCTTGCAGTAGAACATCCCCGACAGTATGAGGCAAACGATGCCAATAAAAGCAAAAACTGCGCCAGAAATCGTCGACGATGCTAATACTTTCAATGGAAAAAAAGTTGCACACAGAAACCATACGGAGATCACTAAAGAAACTACGTATTTGTGAGTCACAAGCTCATTGTACCTGAGGTGAACCTGAATGGCTAGAAATCGGTCTGCACTTAGGGCCATGACACCGAAAAACGAAGCCGAAGAAAATAAAATCCCAGAGAGCGAAAACGCGGTGTATATAGAACAAGACGGGCCGCCCTTAGGGTCCGGCTGTAAAAATGTGATTAGCAACACGATGCATAGAGGATGAACCAATAAACCAACTCCAAGGTCCGAAATGGCTAAACTCATAAGAAGTGTTTTGAGAGGTTTTGATAACGATGAAGTTCTTCTTAACGCATGTATTGTGACGCTGTTAAACATGATGGCGGTAACGGACAGTAAAGCGTTTATAACACAATAGGCAACGTACCATGAATATAAATCCTTAACCTCAGATCTTGCCGGTTGCAGCCCCAAGAGCTCATGGCAGAGTTTACTCTTCATGATAATCCCCAAATGATTCTTAACTGACAATAGCAGATGTTCTATGGTGTTAAATACTCTTAAGTTCTCAGATGGAAGGAAGTGTTAACAACAAAATTCGGGCTCAATTAGTAATAATTGAAAATTTAGCCTGAGGTGATACAAAAAGTAAGTGCACAGAGTAGTGTTCAGATTTTGCACACAATGTTTTATAGCTGAATATTCATATCGAGCCAATCAAACCCCAGAGGAGACATCTGTTTGCCGTAAGGGGTGGATGTCAGTTGATGAAGCGCACAAGCTGTACAGCTATCAATTTCCGGCTTCCTTTTTTTCATTTTAATGCCCAACTTACAACAAGCCTTTTAGAACTCAGGGATAACGCATTCGTAGAACATATTGAAAATAGTGGGTTCGGCCATCTTTGGAAACACTCATCCTTCGTTTTAATCAAACAAGCTAGTTTACCCACGAAAGTCCATTATATATTTTTATTTACAGAGACTGAGCTTCACCTCTCGAGTGTTGTGTACAGCAGCAGTACCTTACAAGAACCAAAAGTTTGTGCATCGTCAGAAAAAAATTTTCAAGCTCATATCTTTGCCCACTAGATAATGTTTAACACCTGCAAAATTTAGCTTTAAATCTAAATCAGAGTAAAATAGTATCTGAAGGGGGCAAGTTTCCGAAGAAATTGTGGTGCTGCGATGGTGGAAGAGTATAACAGAGCAATTTAGTATTGTTAACTGAGTTGATAACGTAAATTGGTCACCGTAAAGAGTTTCAAAGCTGATGTTTCGAGCGTTAGTCCTTCGTCATCGCAAGGGCGAACGCGAACGTGGCCAATTTACGTCATCAACTCAGTTGATATTACTCAACAACCCTATAGTATTATTTGTCAAGTAATGTATCAGTTACTTCCTTCGCTGTTGACTATGTTGGATGATTGATGTTCCTACTGTCAACTGACTTACTTATACTTACAGTGTAGTTAATAAAACAGCATACATTTTTTACTACTGTTAATCGAACAGGCAGCCGTGGCGGTCCTACTGAATGCGTGCGTGCGAGCAGCGAGATGTATCGAACGAGATTATGACTAATTTGTAATTTTCGAGTAGGATCATTAAACAAGCTGCCATAGTTTACTGTAATTTTTAAAAGGCTCTTTCTCAGCTCTACTCACTCTAGTAAGTAGCTTTACGTAATTTTTTAAAGTGTTCGATCTCGTTTCTGTTCTTAGTGGATTGGAAAAACGCCCTGATCAAAAATTACACAATTATTTTCCTATGACACGCAAGTTCGTCGATATCCATCGACCCGGTTAATTTGGGAGATATTCCCAGGTAAAGCGACCAAAATGTTACACGAAAAAATATGGTTTAAATAATATTTTAACTTAAACTTAAATATGTGCAATCCCTCTTTTTCTTTCACAATGAAGTGTGCCAACAAATATCGCTGACTTTTAACATTGCTGGAAAAAATCACTCCGTTATGCATACGCGCTGTCTTACTGGGATGCGCATCTCCCGTCTTCCGTGGTTTGGAATAAAATTTCGGAGCATGTTAATAATTGCATGTCTAAGGTGCCTCATCTTCCAGCAGTAAATAACGGGGTTCAAAGACGAATTGAAGAATACCAGAGTCCATGAAGAAATTGTAGATATTTTTATGGCGCTACTTGAGTCAAATGCGAGCGTGACTGCAAAGGTACATGCTAGAGGCACGTAGCAAATAAAAAACATCAGATAAACGTAGAATGTGCCTATCGCTGACTTTCTGCGACTAATTAGATCTGTGACCGTTGCTTCTGCATCCTGTTCTTGTTTTTGTACCTGTAGAACTTGGATTTGATTTTTGTGGCATCGTACAGTTAGGTAAATTTTGGAATAAAACACTGTTGAGACAGACAGACAAGCAATGCAGACAGTGGTGTGAACTACGGTGGCAACATTCGGCGACACCAACAGCATGAACAGCGAGAGAATTATACTCAAAACCCACAAGGCTACCACTCCAAAGACAACACGCTTGCGAGTTACACACTTCCTGTACCTGAGATGAAGATGAATGGCCAGAAATCTGTCTGCACTCAGAGCCATGAGGCCGAAAAATGAAGACACAGAAAATAAAATGCCTATAAGCGCATACGCGGTATACAAGGCACAACTCGGATGGTATTCAGGGTTCTTCTGTAGCCATCTGACGAGCAAAAGAAGATATAAAGGTTGTGCCACTAAACCAACCCCGAGGTCCGAGACAGCCAGGCTGAAAAGAAACGTCCTCAGAGGTTTTGACAAAGAAGAAGTCCTTCTTAGTGCTTGGATTAAGACGCTATTAAATATGATGGCAGTGATGATAAGTAAAGCGTTTAAAGTACAGTTGACAATGTAACATGAATATAAGTCTTGCGCATCGATTCTCGTTGGCTGAAGAAGCATGAGCTCGTCACAAAGTGGATTCTTCATGATCTTACATTATTTTCGAAGGCATGAAAATTTTTGTAATACTACTCTTTCCCTGCTAGCTTTTCATTTTTCAACATGGGTTTCAGTTTCTTAGTAAACAAATCTGTAGAAATTTTTATTTCAATCTACAATTCTATGAGATCATCAATGAATTTGACGCGCTGCAAAATTACTTACAAGAAAATTGCTTGCGCTTAACTTCCGTTTCATTTTCCAGAGGTTTACTCTTTTAATTTAAATGGATCTCAGCTTGAAATCGCGATTGACTTCATTGTAATTTGAAAACATCAGTCTCGAAAATAGCTTTCGAAGATTCTTCAGAAATTCACTTTTGTGACTATGTTGGATAAAAACTACCAAAATAAAAACAAAGAGAGGTTTTTGTTTCACTCCTAATAACGATGAGGTTGTTTCAGAAGAGAAAATGACAAAAACAAATTATGTTGCACTATCCTGCTTTATCAAATAATCTGCCAAAAACGAGACAGGAGTAATAAAAAGTCTCCAGGTAGATGAACTAAAAATTTTCGCTGTTATTAATTATACTTTTCACTTAACGACGCTGTCACTTTTTTAATTCATCTATAGCATCAATGAGATTATTAACTATGCACAAATAACTGTGTGTTTTCCATGCACCCTAGCTATCGGTATATTAAGGTGAAAAACAAAACAAAACAGGTGTATGCAGATTATGCTTAGGGCGTAAGGCAAAACATGAAATTTCTTGACCTGCTTCCATCAGTTTTTTTAAAAACAAATGTTAAAATATTTGCATCAATTTTGAACACAGTGAAAGGAATTACAAATTTCTTCAATGTTTTTGGAAAATTGAAAGATACTTTTTCTCCGCTAGATTAACAGTAATACTACGATGAAATCTTGAGGGACTGATTGACTTAAGTACTGAGATAATCTTTCTGTGTAGCCAAGCGATCAATTAACGTTACTTCTAACCATTTCCAAAATGATCTTTTCATGTTATTCCCACACAGTCTTGTGCCTGTGCATCACAAGTTTGCTTCAGCTGTAACTGGGTATGACACTTCGCAGTGTGTCTATAATGGCGCGTCGAATGTGTCTCATCTTCCAGCAGTAAATAAAAGGGTTCAGGGATGAATTTAGAAATACCAAGGTCCATGAACACATCGCAAACTTTTTTTCCTGCAAAGTGGCGTTTGTTCGGCCAGAATTTGGCGTGGCAGCAAAGATACAAAGCAATGGCAAGTAGCAGATCAAAAACACCAGATAGACGTGGAATGTACCGATTGCTGCCTTTCTGCCACTTACAACATTTGCGGTCATTTCGGCTTTCGCTGTTTTTGGTTGTATCTGTAGAGTCTGAATTTGTTTTCTATGACGTTGCACGGCTAAGTAAATCTTGCAATAAAGTATGGCTGAGACCAGGAGACATATGACACCCACGCTGGCGAGAACTGCTCCCGCAATACTCGAACGGATAAATAATCTCCCTAGAGAAAGAATTGCACAAAATATCCACAATACAACCACAGTGAAAACAACACGCCTAGGAGTCAGAAGTTCCTTATATCTGAGATGAAGGTGAATGGCCAAAAATCTGTCAGCACTCAGGGCTATAACACCGAAAAACGAGGCCGACGAATGCAAAGTTCCGAAAAGCGTGTATGCGGTATATACCGCACAAGTCGAACTGTTTTCAACACTCATTCGAAACCAGTTGAACAGCAACACGACAAGTAATGGCTGAACAAGAAAGCCAACACCAAGATCAGAGATAGCCAGGCTCATGAGGAGTGTTTTTAGAGTTTCTGGCAACGATAAAGTTCTTCTCAACGCTTGGATTGTGACCACGTTGAAGATGATAGCGGTAACGGACAGAAAAATGTTTAAAACACAGTTAAAGATAAACCATGAATACAAGCCGTCAACCTCAGCTGTTAAGGGCTGTATTAACAAAACCTCGTTACAGAGTGGATTTTTCATGTCCTATCTTGGATGATTTTATCAGGTTTTCGTTCACTAAATTAACATTCGTTCGAGTGTCCGTTGCACGGAGGGTGATTTCCGAAAACTGCAAAACTGTATAATCTCATAACAGTACTTCCACAAGTTGCCCTATAGGTGTTTGCAGGAAAACTATAGTATTAGCACTTTCTTCTCCATTTATATGCACTTAGAATCTAAAAAAAAATTGATTTCAAATTTACAGATTGACCTCGTTAAACGTGCTTCAATGAGCATTTAATCATTTTTATTATAAACTATACAAAACACCTGGTCTCTGATTGGTTCATGACAAGTGCTCAATTGGGGAACGTTAAGTAAAGCTTGCCTTTTTTATCAAACGATTCTTAATATCCCAGTTCCGTTAATAATGCAAACAATATTCTCTGAATTACAAGCTGTCAATCTTTCTAAACATTTTGAGCGACATATTTTGCCAACATTATTACGACTCAAACCCACATTTCACTATTAATCATAAAAAATTGCAATTTCCTCGATTGTGATTGGTTTAAAAAACTCCTTTTTTCAACTTATTCACTTGCCAAGTTGCTTCGGACAGTTTGTCATTAGACAGTTCAATAAGCCAATTGTGTTCGTGTCGTCCAATCCGGTCTGTGATAAACAAATCGGACGACCGCACGATTTAGTTATCACTCGTATGATTGCAGACCGAATTGGACTCCACTCAGTCTTATAACCATTACTTATCAAGTATATATTCCCATATAAGCTACGTAAAATACAGCATTTTTTGTACCTCCTGTTTGCGATAATCAGTGAAATGCGCTCTTAGTTGAGAACCGCACGCAACATTAAGTGCAGCGGTGGCTGTCGCGTTATCCAAAACTGAAGCGGTACAAAGTTCATTAGGTACCCTAAAAGTTTCCTTCTTTCTGCACCAGTTGTCAGAATAGTTCACTACAGCCATAATGTTACATTTGTTGTTCCACAAAGGGACTGAAACACACTCCAAATCATTACTTTACAACAAGTCACCTCTGCAACACTGAAATCACTTAAAAACACTCGTAGATTTTTCCTATTGCTCCGTTTTCTTCAAAATGGTCAAAAATACTTCGGCGACCCCCGATTTCATCATCGAACCTAGATTAGCAAGTAATTATTCACCCTTTTGTAATCTTTAGAAAAATCAATACTGCAGTTTGGAAACCATCTTCATATGTGATAATTTTCATTTCGATCATGTGTCGGAAAAAGTTGTAAGTTGCCTTAAAAGGAACTGAAAACGCACTAGTGCACGACAAGGAAATCAAGTATTCTGACTTGAAGTCAGCGGTTTACGTTGGTTTACCTTGGTTCGCCGAAATGAACCAAATTCTCCTCGCGAAATGCTCTCTTGCAATGTAATTCTATCCTAGGCAAATAAAAAACTGCGTTGACTACCGTATATTTGCTTTCATAAAGTACTAATGCTGATGAACAGTTTGCCAAAATGAAACAGGTGAAAAATTAGAGTGAATGCAGGCAGGTGATTCGTTAATCAATTTGAATCCTTAATATGAAGAGGGGCAAGTTGGTCGTGCCCATCGCTCAAAACGTCAGCTTTAGAAACTCTTTACGGCGGCCAATTTTACAGTATCAACTCAGCTGATAAAACCAAATCATTATGCTATGCTCTCCCATCGACGCAGCACCGAGATTTCTTTAGAAACCTGCCCCCTTTATCCCTTTGATTTGTAGATATTTAGGTAAATTGTGGATAACATTGCGGATTAGTTCTATTCGTCCTGGACCTTCACACTTTCTTTATAGTTAAAGAAAGATACTTTATGACTGAATTTTTGACACAATAGTTCATTATCCGCGTTTCCTTCTTTACACATTTTCCCCCCTAGACTGGATATGACAATTATGTTGGCAAAGATTCTCTAGTGTGTCCATTATAGCATGCCGAATGTGCCTCATCTTCCAGCAGTACACGAAAGGGTTCAAGGACGAATTGAGAAATACGAAAGTTATGGCAGAAATCGAGAATGTCTTTACAGCTGTGTTGAATCCCATCACTGCAATAATAACAAAACTGGAGAACTGAGGCAAATAGCAAAGAGAAAACACAAGATATACGTAAAAAGAGCCAGTCGCTGATTTTTTGACGTTTGCAACATTTGCGGCCTCCTGTTGTACTTGTAGACAATGTATTTGTTTCTGATGGTGTCGCACACATAAGTAGATCTTGAAATACAGAAAAGCTATAAAGAGAAGACAAAATATTCCTAGAGCGCCAAGAATCATGTACGGAATCCTCTGAGGAATCCGCACGGCAACTATCGTGGAGACAATAGCACTCAACACCCAGTTGGAAATCACTACAGAAACAACACGATTGTTAGTCACAAATTCTTGGTATCGAAGGTGGAGATAGACAGCCAAGAACCTATCAATACTCAGTGTGGTCACACCCAAAAACGACCCCGTGGAAAAAACGCTTGCCAGATACACAAACGCGGTGCATGTAGCGACAGACGAATTGCCAGCGCTGCTGTGTTGTGACTTCTTGAAAAGCAGCCAAAAATAGAAAGGTTGCACCAATAAACCAACCCCAAGGTCAGAGATCGCAAGACTAAGTAGCAACGTTCTCAGATTCTGTGACAAAGCGGGCGTCTTTCTGATCGCTTGAATGGTAACACTGTTGAAGATAAGCGCTGTCATTGAAAGGATGGGAATAATGACACAATTAACGATATAAAACGGTCCCAAACTGTCATCGTCTTCGGCGGTTGTGCCGGCATGATATAGAAACAATGCGTCACACAAGGGCTGTTTCATGACGTTGAATCCAGTAGTTTTCTCTGTAGGATATGTGATGGGCTAGTGCAAGTTTAGAGGCAGCGCAAAATAGTGTTCTGCTGGTCTATAACCTGATTATATCACAGTGATACGTACGTGACTGCGTGACCGAACGTGATAAATATCACCCTTACGTCAAAATTTGCCTGAGTAACGTCAAAAAAGAGACTTCAAAACAAACACGTATGTTCACTAAAAGTTCGACTTTAGGGAAAATTTGAGCAAACTACCCTCTGAAAAACTCTCAATTAGATTGACAACTAAAAAGTACATTTAAAACCACAGTCGAAAAAGAAAATTATTTTGTGAGAGTAGTAACCTTAGCAGTTTTCAAGATCTCTTACTTAGCAGCTGATTGCTATTGTTTAATCATTGGAGCACGTCAAAGTTGAATGAAGTTGAAAACATAATTGAATTTCTACTTCTGACGTGCAGTTGCGCTGTTAAAAGGCAAAGATAGAATTTATGTCGAAAAACTCGCATAACATTTGTTATTAAATCAAAATATCAAATTTCAAACCGTTGATATTTGCCTACGACAAATATATTCTTTCCCCTTGTCTTATGAAAAAAGGAAAATAATGAGTGAGAGATAGTATCGTTTAAGTTCACATCGGGCGGTTGGTCATAAACTTTTAGTTTCAGTACATGAACGGGCGCTGCTAAAAGGTTTCCCTGACAGATTCTCGAATCACCATTAGGAGGGGAAAGTGTATTTCAAGTGCGTGTTTAGCCATTGAATAATTACCTTTGGTCAAAACTTTGGTATCTAATTTGAGATTATAGGAAAACATATCGTTATTATCAACTCTGAATCAAGAATAAGATGTTGGTTGTGCAAGCAAAGAGTAAAAAAAAAAACCCTCTTCATCATGATGCCAGTTAGGTGCCAAAAAACGGTGTCCATGAGTTAGTAAATTTTAACCCTGCTGTAAAGCATGGCTAAATCCAAAGAGAAAAAAAAAACAAATAAAATATTGCGACACACACGCACGGTTATTTCTTTCACAAAATATCTCCAAAGTTAAATAATCTATTATGCTGATTAGCATAATAATTCATGCTTCTTATGTTGTTACCATTTTGAATACAGTATTATTGTATTAAGTGTGGATAAAAGTCTAGTCGTATTAAAGATCTAGTCGTACTAAAATGTACGTATGGACTAGTCGTAAAAGAAGCGGTAAAAGACAGCGGACTTGCATGTATGATTTATTCCTGATCGGGCAAATCACCTGCTCAACTGTCAGACGTGATCTCTAATGTCAGTTATTCCTTGGTTAACGTGTTTATCAGCCTGATAGAACGCTCTTAAGAGCTTTTTCAAGCTGACAAGGCGTAGGAGATGCGCAGAATTGCATAATGCACGTTAAGTGTTGGGGAACCAGTGGAAGAGTCAATTTATCACGTACAAAGTTCGTCCGCTAATTGGGAACAAATTTCACGGAATGGCTTATTGTAATATTGACAAAGAGCAAACTATGAAAAATTGTCAGTCTGTTGAGGTTGGGTAAATGACAGACAAAGTTGCTTTCTAGTTGTGATTCGTTCGTTATTGATAATTATGAGGCAAAGGAAAATATTTCAAGGAAAATATTTCAAGGAAAATATTTCAAGAAAAAGTTGGAAGCTTACTTGATTCGAAAAGGCAAACCTATCACAAGTTTGTTTGGTTTCATAGTATAAGACATATTTCAGTTTTTTTGTTTTGTTTGATGATGGATAAGTAATTACAAGTGATCTAACCACAACGACTGTGCCCTTGCAATACAGAGACAAACCTTGGCTATCCGAATAACTTACTTTAAATTAATTCAATAAATTGATCGACTCAAGATCCATATGGTTGATCTACTATAGCCTTACATTTCGAAAAATTTATGTTTAACGTTAAGCTGCAGTAGTGGAAAAAATTTCTCTCTCGCTTACGTGCGCGCTTTTTATCGTATTAGCAATGAACCGAGCCGACTCACACGGAAACGAGATCTATCGTGATCATTTGAAAAGAGATTTTCACTTACCTGAGATTCCACTCTTGGTGACGCCCCAGACTCCACCAGAAGTTTGACAACTTCAACGTGGCCAGCCTCGGCTGCCATATGCATTGGTGCGTAACCATTCTAAAAGAAAGAGAAAAAATTTACTAAGTTGCGGTGCAAATTCTCAGCAATAGTGCCATTACTAATATATGGCGAAAGGGCTGATGACTTCAAAGATTGCTCACAAAGGAGCTTATATGGGAAGGCCTTTGATATGCAACAATACAGAGCTTTTAATGGACAGGATTCGAGTCTCCCACATCATTATCTCTTAAGTGAACAGGTCAGCCTACTTTTAGATAGCATTTCAGTTGATTTAAGGTGTTGGGCTCGACAGTCTAGAGTTATATTAATTTAGACGCATTCCAGTTGACGAGTTTGTCTTTTCTTGAACGCATCGCGTATTTTTCTAGATAACGTTTATAATCAGCTAGGGATGAATTCTTAATAAATCACCATTCATATGAAAGTTACCACATCGTCTTCACTCGATATTGTAATTTCAAGAGTAGAAAGTCTGTTTTTTAAGGTATACCTCATCCGGCGCGTTGATATCGGCTCCTTGTCCAATAAGCTGAGAGATCAGTTCCCGATGTCCATTGGCGGCAGCCAGATGCATGGCTGTTCGGCCAAGTTTATCCTTAACGTGAAGCTGTAGTGTTGACTTACTTAAGAGAATACTGACAACCTCAGAGTGGCCATTCTCGGCAGCCAAGTGAAGAGGAATGGAGCCCTTGATAAACAAAATAGAGAGAAAGAATTTTAGTTTCACGAAACTATTCTACCTAGTTCAAAGAAGGATTCAAGATTCCACAAGAAAAAAATCGAGTGAAGAGTGTCTTAGGAAAATGGTCTAATCTCGCTTAATCCGATACACCGATGAGAATTTGCATAAAATTACAGTTCCACCTGGAACCAAATAACGCTCCAAATAAACTCTCGATCTTATTCAATACCATGCGTGACTCGTCGTTATGTAAAAAACTTGATCACAAGCCAGAGCAACCAAGTTCCAAGTTTTGAAGCCCCCCCCCCCCCAGTGTAATCTCGTTGCACGAGTCAACTCCCCGCTAAGATACTCGCCAAGGTCTGGGTTCGCTCCAGAATCCAGCCCGCTGAAGGTGACCTGAAAGTGAAGGAATTGTAAACAACATGAAGAGCAATCATCTCACATGTACAGCTGTTGCCGAATCCACGCGCACACCAGGCGAGTTCAGCAGAATTCGCACAACACCCACGTGACCAGATTGTGCCGCCAAATGAAGAGGTGTGAAACAGTACTAGAAGACAAAAAACGATCACAATAAGCTGAAGTAAACGCTTTTAGTCAAAGTCAGAGATCATAAAGACAGTACTACGAGCCTATACGTGACGATGATTAAACTGAAACAAACGCCTTTGATCACAGAGAACAATCAAGATGGAACTGTTTCAAAAGCAGTCGACAAAAGCATGCTGTTAGCACCAAATGCGGTTTAAAATCACATTGCGGTGAATCTTTGGTGAGCCCTGACACTCATCTTAACGAGCCTGTTTGGAATGAGATTCGTTTTCTATGGTTTTTGGCAATGTTGTATCAGATTGCCTTGATAATTTTAAATATTTCACAACCACATCAGATTGCTTCCCTAACTTCGTCGATATTAAATCCGTAAATTGATACTCTCATAATCATCGATGGCGATGGCGAATCTCCTTGACTCTCGTATATCAAAGAAATGACCAAACACAATTGTTCCCCAATAAACTATCAATTTCATCCAATACAATGCGTGACCCGTCGACGTGTAAAAAACTTGATCACAAGGCAAAGCTTAACAAAGTTTTGAAGCCCCCTCCAATTGTTTCCCCGTATTGCAAGAAAAATTTGACTTAAACCTAAAATATTTCCTTTTGACTGCTTTTCTTTAAAATTTCTCGTTACATCAATCGCTTAGAAAAACCTTAAATTAATCTTACTCTTAAACGACTTACATCTGAACGTGGTCCTTTGTCACCATTGTTCATCATTGCAGGAGACTCGCTTTTGATGGTTCCGGAAACTTTCAGCAGCATTTCTCTGACTACTTCAATCTGACCATACTGGGCAGCTACGTGAAGGGCGGACAGGCCGGTCTGCAGCGTAGTGCAAATAAAAAGGTTCAATTTGAAAATTCAAATCATAACTCGCGCATAATGTTGCACAAGATTTCAAAACTACGGTTCCTATTGAGCAGAACCTTGACCCTTTAAACCCTAAGAGAGACCAGCATCTAATTTCTCCTTACAATATCACACCTGAAACACACTTTAAGTTCACGAGAATATAGAAAATGATCACTAAATAAAGAAACTCTTGACTGTTTAACAAATTCTCCTTATCAACACCTCAGGAAATGTAGATAATAGAGTATGGAGAACACGCATACCGATGTTAGGGTGTAAAGGGCTAAAAGCTCTACACACTTCGACTGAAGAACGCAGAAAGACAGGATGTCCTTTAAAGTTACGTCTTAACCAGAAAATCATCGTGTCTTAATACCTGATACAATAAAAGTTTGTCTGCTTCAGTTTATTTGTTTTCTTTACCTTAACGCTTGCCATGCTCCAAGGAACCTTTCCGCGCAAAACCTCTAAGACGTCCACGTGTCCAAACCTTGCTGCGAGATGAAGAACTGTCATCCCTTCCTGTCAGTGAAAGAGAAGAACTGAACTTTACTTAAAGTTGTTGTAAGAGTCATTCCTGCTATTTTGAGACGTCAAGTATTCGTTTTGGCTGATGGAAGCATTCTTTTCTAAGGCCTTTTTTAACGGTCAATCAACTAAGGTGGTAAAAAAGAGGTTACCTGGCTGTTACTATTAGGTTTGTAGATGCATGAAGCTACTTGTTTAAACGGTCCTTCCTCAAACTGCACCAATCAGCTCTACATTTCACATTGCAAGTTCCTTAGGGCTAAACATCTCCACTACTGGTAGTTTAAGAGTATTGTCCATTGTGTTAAAGAAAGACCAGATAGGGCCTGGTACTTACCGCATCTTCATCACTTGCCGAAGCTCCATGAGCTATCAACACTTCCACAACAACTTTATGACCACCGCTGGCTGCAAGCAACAAGGGCGTAGAAAACTTTTCCTGTGAAGGGACAGAGTATGACGGCGTTAGCTTTTAGAGGAGAAACGAAGAGTTCAAGATACCGCAGAGATTGGATTCGAGGATAAAACAGTGTTTGACTGTAAAAGCTTTTCATGGGTACAATTCTACGTTGGTGCTAATGAAGGACTCGAGTAAGCCGAGTTCGAGTAAGCAATATTATACTACGGTTAACTAGCAATTCTTAAATGGTTGTTTTACCTTGTTTCTGGCTGTTGTGATTCCTGAAGGGTTAAATTTCAATAGCTCCTTCATCACAGACACACTGCCCTTCATTGCTGCAATATGAACACACGTGCTGCCCTCCTATGGGATAAGAAAGCGAAAGAAAGTCACTAATACTTTTTTCATTGTCGGTCAAAGCAGATCACTCAGCCATGTTGAGATTAACAAATAAAGGGAGTAAGGTTTTTAAGAAACTGTGGTGCTGCGTCGGTTGGGGAGTATAACAAGATAATTTTTTTTTAATCAACTGAGTAACTTGGCCACCATAAAGAGTTTCAGAGCAGACGCTTTGAGCGTTAGCTCTTCGTCAGAGCGAATGCGAGCAACCTTTGGTAATGATCTTCTGTCTTCTTACCGCGTTCTGTTGCATCATGACTCCAGGTTTGTGAGTTAGAAACAGCGTTACCACTTGTGAATGATCATTTTGTGCGGCGTAGTGAAGAGGCGTTTGACCTTTCTGTGGATAACAGGCAAAAAAAAAGGTTCATATTGAAGACTGCAAGCGGCTTTCCAGCCGAAAAAAGGGTACGTCTCTAAAGAACACGTGGTGCTGCGTCAGCGGGGCATATTACTAGATAAGTTGTTTCATCAACCGAGTTGATATTTTGAATCTGCCACCATAGAGATTTTCTACAGCTGGCGTTTCGAGCGTTAGCCCTTCGTCAGAGCGAATCTTTACAGCGGCTAACATTATCAACTCAGTCGATAAAACCAAATTAGCTATCTAGTTAGCTTAGTACGTTGCGCCAGTAAACGAAGTTAAACGAACATGAAATAAACGAAAAAAATGAAGTTGGCGTTGCGCGTACTTATAAGGCCAGGCCTGTTCTTCCACGCACGCCACGCTTGTGACTATTAAAGTGCTTTAGCCATTTAGAAAAGACTGTGTTTCCATTTATTCAAACGCAAAGGGAAAAACCGCCAGCAGCTTGGGGAGGTTTGGTATTGCACGACTTTCCCGTGCTTAGCACCCATTATATGAGTTAAGCGATTGCGCTTGGAGCAGTTTCTTTTTTATTATTTCTTGTTTGACATGATTAGTAACTTGTCGACGACGTCAAAGACTCGCCTTAAATTTGAAATAAACGATCACTTAGCTTAGGTGATGTCTCGAACATAGGAGTAGTCATTTTATAATGATGGACGGCACTTACGTTGTCCAGCGCGCTTATGTCGGCTCTTAACTCCAGAAGGTGTTCACAGACTTGTAATCGGCCCTTTTCTGCGGCCAAATGAAGAGCTGTCTTCTTTTCCTATCAAAATAGAGATGTGCTTTGCGTTAGCGATTCGTAATTAAATATTTCCCCGCAAAATTAGATCGCTGTTATTAAGGAACAGACTCTCACCAGCGTCAAAGCATCCACACTAGCTTTATAGCTAGCGACCAGAAGTCCGACTAACTCTTTGTGGCCGCTCTCTGCCGCCAGATGAAGTGGAGTAAGCCCCACCTGAAAGAGACAAGACTCAATGTCTGAACAAAAACACTGAGTGAAACATGTCCTGTAATTTTTATTACTTCAGGTAATTATGCTTCCATCTCTCTCTCTCTATGTAGTCTTCTTCAGTAAATGACAGAGTAGGGTTTGAAAATTTGTACCTGGAAATAATTTTCAGTGTCAAGTGTGGTGTGTATTCTTACAGTATTTAGTCCTCCGTGGAGATCGAAGCGCCCGGGGAGGTGCTCCACCCAGGTGTACTCAGGTAAAAAGCGTGCCAGGCATTTATGCTCGGAGGTTTTTTTGAGGCTAATAAACGTAAGCGCACGTCTTTCCGTCTACCATACTTTGAGTGAGTGAAGGCCCACAGATAAGCCAGTATTACATCGGGTTGGCACTTAGTAACGTCGTCTACGAATGGATGGGTCACGGGAAAGGCATATCACAACGGTTCCTCCTCATCAGTGCTACAGATTAAATTTTTGGTATGAACAAGATCATGTACATCTTTTATGTAAAGCCTCACCTTGCTTTTCGCATTCACATAAGCTTTGTGCTCTAACAATTCTTTCGCCACCTCAAGATGACCGCGTTCTGCGCAGATGTGTAAAGCAGCTCGTCCAGACTGGTAAGAGAAAAGAACACAAAAAATACTTAGCTGGGGAAATTTCAAATTGAGAGTCAATCAATCAAAATGCAGTGACAATTATCTCGCCCCAACGCTCACGCGCTCAAATCCGAAACTGAAAGATAATTTTATCAAGTTACTAAACCAGAGAGTACCTCATCAAAGACATCTACTCTTGCATGGTACTTCAGCAACGTACGCACAATTTCCGCGTTTCCTTTGTATGAAGCAACAAGCAGAGGCGAAGAACCACTCTGAAACCAGGAAAACAATCCGTATGAGTAGCAAGAAGTTACATACCAGATTACCTTCAATAGCGATCAATGATTCTCCAGGAAAATACCACAGACTGCTTTAAATAAATACACTGGGATAAGTTAGTTCCCACTGTTTAGAGCGGCCCCCCTTTCCCCCTCTGTAAAAGCAGTTAAATGCTATAGTATTTTAATTGGAGCACGAAGACCAAATGATCACTTTCTCCAATTTCGCTTCTGAGGTTCATTCGAGATAGATCATGGAGCACTTTTTCTGGGAAAAGTCCCTGTCAACCTTAATAAGCTGACCGACCTGATGTTGGCCCAAATCATATCTAATTTGCCTTTATTTTAACGGGGCAGCCAGAAAAGGGGCGGTTACACAGAAATCCTGATAAACGACTTACTGACGATCGTTTATTGACCGTGACTTGAAGCTTGGAAGGGGGAATGGACTTTAATAAAGCTATCAAGATGTCGTTGTTCCCTGAGCGTGCGCACTCGTGGATTGGAGTCTCCATGGACTGAAAAAGATTGGAGAAGAAACAATAGCAATCAGAATCGCATTACGGGGGTGAGGTACGGGTGTTATCGAAATTGACTCATGTGAAAGTGACACACGAGCTTTTTAGAGGGCAATTGTTAAAATGCACATACTCGTGACTAACCGAACTAGTGCGTGCGCACTTTGTACGAGGTCGTTTGTGATGTGAGTGTATCAAACGAATCGTATGCGTAAAAATAATAATCATTCCCTAGATTTAACGGTCATCAATAGAAAGCAGACACTTTGTTGTCGAGTATGTGAAAATTAACCCACCTGATGCGTGACTGCTGTGCAATCGGCACCGTGTTCAAGAAGCAATTTGACGATATCTATGTCAGCGTTCCCTTTGACTTTCAGTTTGGATAACTTGGCAGCGTAATGCAGAGGAGTCTCACCTTTCTATAAAAAAAACATCAAAGGTGTAGGTAGCAGTCAAACAAACGTGGGAAACATCAGGGATGTAACATGCAAGTTATAGCAATGTTCTAACTTGAGGACGATAAACCATTTTAAAACTGTAAAGAACGCGAACATCAGAATGTTTACTCATCAAGGTCTTTTCTTAAAGACTAAGTGTATGTCCTTATGCAGGAGAAAATTGGGACGAATTGTTGTTGTGTTAAGATGTAATCGGTGATATACCAAAACAACATTCATTTTGTCTATTTCTCTGACAGTTAACTATACTGATTTGAGCTTCTGAACAGAGATAATTTATATACGTCTCCACTAATTTCTACCTGGATCTCCTTCAATGGGGCGACTTGACTAAAAGCGCCTCTCTCCCCTTTTAAGCTAAAAAGATTGACTTTTTCTGTTACTTACATCAGTTGGCATATTGATGACAAGTCTTGCTACAGCTTTAGACTTCATTTGGAATAAGACTCGAATCAATTCTTCTAGCACTAAGTAGTGTCCTGCCCGGATGGCGTGATGGAGGGCAGATTCGCCATTCTGACACCGAAACAAACATGTATGCTTTGTTAATAATAACCCTTTTCAAATATCTTCCAGATGTGATTAGAATGTATATTCCCCTTAAAACGTTAAAGTAGTAACCAGCAAAGGGGTGATGAGAGTTAACAAACTTGATCAGACATCAGATTTTCTCGATGAATTTACGGATGAGACCGCGATGGTTAAAGAAACTGTCTTGAACTTTCACAATCAGTGTTTACCTTTGGTGTTCGATCATAAAAAGCGATGTTTTTATTTTTCTATTTCTTTAAGGTACGATCTTTTTTTCCACCTTTTTCTTTCTTCAAACTCTACAAAAGATCACCAGGTTGTGAGAGAAACTTAAGGCAGCACACAAATAAATGTCGATTCGCCTCAAATCTCAAATTACCGTCAATCTTTCCTCAAACAACCCGGCCTACTTGATTTCTCGATCAAATACTAGAAGGTGTATGATTTTGACGGTGATCTCAAAACGAATTCGTCAGTTTACCTTCGCTCTCCTCGCAGCATCAGCTTTTTCGTTGATGAGCAACTTTAATATTTTCAAGTTTCCAAATCTTGCGGCCACATGCACCGCTGTCTCTCCATTCTACAAAAAAAACGACCCTTATTACTAACGATAAACAACCTGTAACGAGCTCATTGAAAAGAACCAGATTGAACTTATACAACCAGGGGGAAAAACGGATGGTAATTTCTCATTTGCTGTGAGAGGGGATGAAAGATAGAAGATCTTTGGGGAAAAATAGGATACAACCGAGTTGGAGGAGATTCTTTCCCCCTCCCCTCCCCCGCACCTCATTGCTCCCCCCCCCCCCCGCACCTCATTGCTCCCGCCCCCGTCACGCTTCTCCCCATACCTAAGAATCATAACTAGTGACATGTTGACATTACTGCCATGCCTGTTATGTTACTTAGTGCGTCAACATCCTCTCATGTTCGATTGCAAGTAGAAGGCAATGGTTGGAGGGAGAAAATTAAAGTTTGCAACGCCCTCAGGAGAGAAAGGTAAGATTAACGAGATTCATGTACAAATGTACTAGTTTTTTTTAGATGACTTTAACAGGGGTGTGAGACCCCTTTTCCTTCCCACTCACCCCCTCATATCGCCTTTTCTTCTTATGCCTTAGAATTACAACAAGTATTCAAGTGTAAGAACTATTCCTTACGTCACTCGGTGCATTGACATCTGCTCCACTCTTGGTCAGCATCTCTGCTACTTTTTCGCCATCCTTGGTCCGTGCTGCAATGTGCAACGGTGTCTCTTCGGCCTAAAATAAAAACCAAGACAGGAGAACTGTGTTCAGTCTGAAGGGAAAAAGCTGATCTTGAAATGAGGACCCCAAAGCTCATCGAGGTGATTTGTTCTCACGACTAAGTCGATGAAATTAGTTCTGTTCAAACTAGTAGAAACAGTTCCAACTAACCTTGCCCCCTCTGTGCTGGACATTGGCGCCATATCCCAATAAGACTTGAACAACCTGTGGTTTGCAATACTTCACCGCGATGTGTAAAGCCGTGTACTGATCCTAATTGACAAAAAGTGCAAAAATCAAACCAGCTTCGATCCTCTCATCAACCCTTCCCTGTGTTTTCCTCACATTACAAAGACACCAACAGTTTTTTTGGAGTAAAACTCGACTGGGGAACAAAACGCGCAAAGCATTAGCCCACTACGACTGTGTTTTTTTTTCCTAAAACGATCCGTCAAATGGTGTTGGTTAAATTGTAGTCCTGACTCTCATTCCTACTACTCATGTGTCGGTGGCGGTGGCAGTGGCGGTGGTGGATTCAGGGAGAAGGTCTGGGGGCTCGAATCCCCCCCCCCTCTCCGTCCATCACAATTGAAGGTTTTTCAATGACTGTCTTTTCCGGCACCAAATTCTTGCAGCGACAGCATCGTATTATTTTTACTCAAAATGAGATATGGGCAATTTACTTGTTCTAAAGTTGTTCTAAGCATATTTAGGCTGCGGTGTAGAAAAGGAAAAAAAGTGATGTGTCTTCTGAGTCAAAACTTGCACACACCCCTCCCCCCTTCCCCTTCCCCACACCCAACAAAAAAATTCCTGGATCTGCCCCTAGGGTGTTGAGAAAATAAATCTAACTGAGGGCGAGCAATGGATTCTTACTTTGGTTTTGGTGTCCACTGAGGCGCCCTTTGACAACAAAGCCCTGACGACTGCCACATGACCTTTCCTCGCTGCCGCGTGAAGGCAAACAGCACCGTCCTACACCATGAATAACAAAAGAAAATAGATGAATGCACATTACCTCAGTTAACTACCAAGCAGATCAATGAATAATGAGACCTTTCATATGAAAGCTCAACATTGAAAGCTATCGTAGAGTATTTTCATTAAATAAATAAAGGAGGAAAGTTTCTAAAGAAACTGTGATGCTGCGTCGGTGGGAGAGTATAAAAGGGTAATTTGTATTATCGACTAAGTTGATAACGTAAATTGGCCACCGTAAAGAGTTTCAAAGCCTACGTTTCGAGCGTTAGCTCTTCGTCTTTCGCTCTTTACAGAGGTCAATTTATGTTATTAACTCAGTAGACAATACGAAATTACCCTATGTTCATCAAAATATGCTTTGTCTTTGTTAAGCTGTAGTGATTAGAATATGACAGCTCAGTAGATTTATATTTAGAACCATTAGTAAGTTGGTATCATTATCCCCATATTGGATAATTAAAAATTTCAGAAAGTGTGTGACCGTTTTCATTGGGTGTTATATTCAATACAAACTCATAGTTTTTCATACAGCTATTTTGACGAAACCTCGCTCTGTGACCTGTCAAATGACAGCCATAATGTTAAACGTGATATTATTTTTATGTCACAATTCTCCAAAGGGACACATTTTGTTCACCTTGTTGGGCATGTGGAGGGGCACGCCCTTTTTGAGAAACACCAACGCAGTGTCAGGATGTCCTGCTTGAGCTGCTATGTGCATCAGTGTACTGCCATCCTAGAAACAAGCATCGTGAAAATTCATAAAAAGTTTGCTTCGTCTCGTTTCTGAGATTCTGCTGCAAACAAAACAACACCAAAGGGAGGCTTTTAACTTCTCATTTCTTCTAATCAGCCATACCTTAGTTCTCAAATTCACGTTGGCTTTCAGTTTATCCACTAAGAACTCGGCGACCACTGAGTGACCTCGTTGAGCCGCCAGGTGAAGTGGTGTGCGGTCGTGCTAACAGATCAGGAAAAAGGGAAAAGTTGTCAATAAATGTCCTGTGATGCACCAACGGTCACGTGCAAGCTAACAAGCAACGTATTTTCTCCAGAAGATCTTGTACAAATATCCATTAACGATCACCTCTTATCAGCCAATCAAATGCTTGGAAAAAAAGGGTGCTTTCATCATTCTGCCGACGAATTAGTGTCTTTGATATGTTTTCCGAGCTGCGCATAAGCAGTTAGTTTCCTCACTGACATTAAATTAGTTTTTTGTCTTCTCTTTTTTTCGGTTTTCGTTTCAGAACCAGTGTTGAGTTGTAGCTTGGCAAGAGCCACTAAATTTGAAAACCCCTTCCTTTTGTGCGACAATTGATGTGTTGTAACCCAGTTATCTATCGAAACGTCTACATAACATGAACTCACTGAATCCGCGATATTCGCATCAGCTCGAGCTGCTTGGAGAAACTTGATCATTGTTTCATCTCCTTCGTAAGCAGCGATGTGAAGAGCTGTCTGGCCTTCGGACTGTAAAGAAAGAAAGAAAAATAAAAGAGAAGGAAAACAACAAAGGAAGGAAAGATCAGTCAGGAATTTCATCGGCCAGAAAAGAAAACGGAACGAGGACTTTTTTCACTTACGTTTTGGAGGTCCACAGGACAACCACATTCGACAAGAATCTTTGCGATATCAATCTCCCTTTTGCGTACAGCAGCATGCAACACGGTGTCTCCGTTAATCTGAAAATGAATTCAGTTCGCAGCAAAAAAAATTATGATAAAGTGAACTTTGTAGTAACACTTTGAGCCTCACTCGGCCCTATGCCCTTTCAACAATTAACACAGTATGAGGCACTGGAATAGGATTTTATTCATACTTGTTCTTTCGTCTTTTCCAATCAAGAGGAATATGGAAAACAACACAATTTTTTGGGATCTAAAATCTGACAATCCTTTCTAGAAAGACGATGACGATCAATGATTGTTCCGGTATGGACGTCATACAAGGCCGTCAAAGTTATTTCTGATATCGAAGTAACGTCTGATGATTCATAAAAACAACCGCACTGCGCCCATACAATAGTATTTCAATTTTTTTTTATTAGATACTCTGTCTTGTTTTGTTTCTCCATATTTTCTGTAACTTCTTACCCCTCTGGTGATCTTCACTTGCTGTTCAGTTTGGGAACTGAGTAGCTCTTTCACTACTTGTTGATTTCCTGCCATGATCGCAAGGTACAGTGGGATCGACCCGCTCTAGAAGAAAAATTACAGCTGTGATTCCTTTTGTTTTTGTTTTTCGACACAGCATCCAAAGAAACTCAGTTGACTCACTTTGTCAGTGAGGAGTTTGGCATCCTTTCCAGTTGCCTTTAGTAGAGTTTTAACAATCTCCAAAGCTCCAGATGGTCGGCTGCATGCGATGTGCAGTGGAAGTTGCTCCTCAGGCTGAAAAGAAGATCAGCAAATCAGTTTAAGTTAAAAGATGAATTGATGTTTATCCTGGACACACGGGAAAACAGGAATCCTCACGCAGCTTTATAGTGAGGTTGCGCGCAAAAATTGAATGTTTATCCCAGTCACACGAGACAACAGGGGTCCTCACATAGCTTTAGCTGGCGCGCAAAAGTGGAATGTCTATCCTAGCCACACGGGTAAACAGGGATCCTCACATAGCTTTAGCTGGCGGGCAAAAGTTGAATGTTTATCCTAGCCACACGGTTAAACAGGGGTCCTCACGTACCTTTAGCTGGCGCGCAAAATATGAATGTTTATCCTGGTTACACGGGTAAACAGGATCCTCGCGTAGCCTTATAATCAGTTGGTGCGCAAAAACTGATGCAGGAGCAATAAATCAGAGAGGCTTTGGGAAAATTGGAGGAAAATGTCACAATTACTGAAGAGATTGAGACCGATCAACTAAGTTTAAGTGCAGAAGTTGTATGGGTTCTTAAATTTGGCTAATCAAAGTGAAACGAAGTGTGCAAGTTATTTCAGTTTTAATTTTCCTCTACTTACCCCGGCTGGAAGTGTCGGATCCGACTTCTTGGAGAGAAGAAGTTTCACAATACCGTCAGAGCCAGAACATGCTGCATAATGAAGAGCTGAGCGGCCCCCCTGCAAAGATGAAGGAAGAGAATATTTTAAGAGAGGTTCTGGTCTTTGGTATAAATGGTTGTTTCCAATCGATTCATCACACACGGTTGTAACGAAAACTTTGCGCAGGTGAGCGAACGAACTTGCAAGCGAAATAGTTGGTGGACCATGATTCCCCATTCATAAACAAAACATGACAGTAACGAGAAGTAAAGAAATGATCACCAACCACGAAGCTCTTGATTCTTAAATAAATTCTCCTTGTCGGCACCTTAAGATATGTATTGAGAACAGCATGGAGAAAATACAAACTGTTGCAAGGCTGTAAAGCGTGAAATTGTAAATATCTAGTACAAGAGGAAAAGGATGGCTGCGTATAGTGAAGATTTAGGTGAACTGCATATAAGTGACTTCGAAACTTCAAGTTACTCCTTAACCTCCACATATGATCAGCATCTAATTTCTCCAAACAGTATTACCCCTGAATCACACATTAAGGTCATGAGAATAAAAGAAAACGATCTCGAATTCAAGAAGCTCTTAATTGTTAGAACAAAGATTCTCCTTGATAAGTAATATAGGAAATGTATATAGAACAGTATGGAGAACTTGCATACTGATAACAGGGTGTAAAGGGTTAAATTTTTCAGGATTCAGAGTCAGTGGCGAATCTCCGTTTTCCATGCATACAGTTCATAAGACTATAATTTTCGAATCAGACTGCTTTTCGTTTGTAAGCCTCGTCTGAAAGCTAAATATAGGGGAGAAATATAGTTGATAACATCAGTCTTTATTCTTACCAGTGGTTGAGCTTCAGATGTGAAAGATAACGATTTCTTGATGGTTGAAAGGAAAGATTGACTTGGCCTTTCTCGGATGTTAGTATTGATTCTTTTAGTGATCAGCTGATGCTCTGGTATATACTTTCGTTATTAATCAACAATATCCTTCCAAAACTGCTGTACTAAGTTTGCGTATTACCTATAGCGATTATTTTTAGTTTGGCATTGAGCTTTGTCAGAAATAAAATATTCCTTTTATCATTTTACCAACACTTTCACCGTTCCAAGTCGTGATCACGTAATGCACGCCGTCAAATCGCATAATCATGAAAATTTTTGGTCTGTGAAATGATATTTGTCCTTTAATTATAGTTTTCGGATAATACGTTCATATTGCACTGGTAAGTCGTGATTTGTGCGTGCGACTGGTTTTCCCCATGAACACACAGGTTACCGCGGTCAAACAAGAATAAATCTGTCGAATGTTGGCATTCCATAAAACTTTCCTTCAAATGCAAGCAGCTTATGCCCCGATTTCAACTACTAACTTTCATGTGTCGAATGTACGAATGGATCAGCATAATCCATGTTTGCATCCCGCAATTCCCCTCTTTCACTGAGGTGACTGATTACGAGGCTGATTAAGGTCAACGTCTGGATCAACAGTCGATCTTTATCGCTTGAGTCTACCAAAATAAGTATTTATGATTGATACTTGAAAGGTTTGGCGTTTGAAGCGAGCCTTAAGCTACATGTGGCTCAATATCGCCGAGGGGTGTGCTGCGCTGGGAATTTACTGACCGTAGAAAGGCGTTATGCAGTCACCATGCAATAGAGGATCATAATCTAATCAAAATTTACTTTGAGCATTTTGCAAGTGATGAGTTACTGAATTACCCTCCACAAACTTTAATGAGAAATGTTAGTTTTTGTTACATAAATCCTTACTTTGCACGTCGTGTGTCGCTGATAAATTTGTTATGAAAGATGAAAAACCGTCGGCCACAAAGATCGCTTAGGTAAATACAAAGATTAGTTTATACTTTTTCATTCTATTCACTGTATTCTGAAAGAGACTTGCAACATTTTCAACTCGGTTCAATTTTTGCAGGACTAACGCTGAATTTAAAAAGTTAGCGATATAAGAAGTTTGATGCAAAACCTTTTTAAAATTTCATAACACGAAAAAATTTGGTGCAAGACTCTAAAGTAAAACATCTTTTAAGATGCAATCAAAACGTAATTTTCTTTCATGCTTCAAATTGGTTGAAAAAATTAGTGCAAGAAATAAACTGCAATGAATACTGCGAGTCGCTTCCCGTGAAGAGTTAAAGGTGGCAATGAAGGCACGAGGTTATTACTTCAACTAATGAACTAAAATCTCGAGCAAGTTGTCTTCAAAAGTGATTCTTTCTCAAGATCCTGTCATTTTGTGTGTGCAGTTCGAAAACGCAAATGTCGGAAGCAATCTCCAAATAAAAAATAGGTTCTTTTAGCTGTGAATACAAACGCCTTTGTCGAATCACAAGCGCTTCCGTCTTTGATTTTATCTCATTGTGAGCGATCAGTTTGTTTGACATCAAAGACACAAGACAAAGACTTAAGCGTCAAGTATATAGAAAATAATAAAATATACTTTTAATTTTCTCTTTTTTTCTTTTGACCGAAATCGTATCAGCGAAAACTTACTTCAAAAATTTAATGAAGTTGGTTAAAAAAATGGTATAACATGCTTAATGAAATTTGCTTATTCAGCTCGATTCCACTTAGAAGTAATTGTAAAGATAATTCTTTTTATCCAAAGATATATATGAAGGAAACACTTGTCTTAAAATGGGCGAGAGATGGCGAATAAGATATGAAATAACTAGGGAAAATGGTTGGAAAAATAATGAGCGAAAGTTTGATATCATCACAAGCTGGCAAATCTTGTCGCGTAAATTGTAACTGTAAACACGAAAAGGCCGTGTACAGCCTCATTTAACTTTAGCCATTCTTTGCAGTCGTTTTGATATCAAAAAGAAAATCTCTCGAGTAAAGGTTGACTTAAGAGAAATAACTTTTTGTATTTACTTTGGAAAAATTTCATCTCGTCCTAGTTTCAGTTTATAAACATAAAGTGTATATTTTTGGTCAACAGATGATTAGAACTCGACCTCGCATTGGTCGAAGTTGTGATTTCATTTTCAAATGACAGTCATGGCTGAATCATTTGTAGCGATAATGTATGGTAAATTTTAAAATGACTTCTTGTCGACAGTTCATGTTTCGAAAGGCGGGGATTTATTTTTTTCTCGGTAAAAAAAAATCACTTAAAAACGCCTAGAAAACGATAAACACATGCACAATAAACATGGAAATTTGAAAGAAATCATAGAAAGATAAGAGAAATCATAAAGTCCTTTCATACGCTTAAGGAAAACTCACGCGACTTGAAAAAGTGGTAACCGTTTCAATAGATTTTAAACAAAATATTGAAAATCAAACATATGCGGCGATACTGTTGAACAATGGAAACTATATGTAAAAGACGCGGCTATTTCTAAGCAGGCTTAGCTGCTCCGTGTATTGACGATCTCGATCAGAAAATATCTGTCTCCCAAATAATTTTGTAAGAAACAAATTTACATAATCACCGATTCACGTATTTCATAACGAGAGGAAGATAAGAACAAAGTAACTCTGCGTGTAGTTAGCTGAATACGTTTTGAAAACAATATTTCTTTAGAAACGAAGGGAAATATACCTTCCGCTCAAGATAAAAAAAAACCTCGACTGAATATTGTGCAAAAAGATAAATGTGAATGTTTACGAAGGGCTAAAAGATTTTTCCGCAAAACCAAACCGCATATAGATCAACTATAGGTAAAATTTAATTTGTTACGAACAAATTTTATAAACCTCAACAAAGTTATAATTGCTCGAAGAGATAAGGCGAAGTCACGTGACGGAGTTGTGCGAAGACTTCAGTTGTAGTTACTAAGATATGAACAATCGTCTTTAAAATCAGCTGCCTCTCTCTCCAATTTGTCATCACCGTAGGCCATTTTTGTTGGTGTTAAAATCAACAAACGATACGTCTCTAAGAATTGCTCGCACAAAGGGATCAAAGGCAGTGAAATTTTTCTCTTCACAAACACACTTTGTCGTGCAAATTTTTTTTTAACCAGGAGAAAGATCGCATAGTGAGCACAATTAGAAGCTGGATATAAAAATTTAATAAGGCATCAATATTTGATCCTGAAAATTGAAATCAAGGACCAGGTTGAAACTGCGGTTTACCGCTATTTTGCAAGTGCAATGTTTATCCATCCAAGGAGTGTGTAATTTTCAAGGTACGCTTGTGTTTGGTCCGAATAAAAGACGAGGGCTTTCAAGGAACTCGCCAAGTTTTTTACCCAGCTGATATGCATTTTACCTTTTTTTCTTTACTTCAGCTGTGTTGATGCAGGAAATCCAATTTTAAGATTCTTTTCTACAAAAACACAACGAAACAAAAGGTAGCAGACAAATATCGAGAGCTTCCATTATAATTTTCTTATTTCAGCACACAAAAATTCAGAAAGAAAACATGTTTCGTTTAAAACACTGCAAACATACCTCCGTTAAGATTCTAAAACGTTTTACCGAGTCTTCAGTTTACCTTACGATAAGCAAAATTTGAAACGCACATAAACTACTTTATTTCACGTTTTCGTTTAGTTAGCAATTTGCGGGAATATCAAATAAAATTGGCCGCTGCACCACGCATTGTAGGAACAAGTGGCCAAGAACAGTCCTCATCGGTTCGAGATGTGCGATCAATAACAATCCGGAAATTCACAGAGGAAAAATAACTAACTCCACATCCTTAAGTGTTTCCAAAATATTTTCTGTGAAATCTCCACTAATTAGACTATGGCCCAGAAGAGTCACCTTATTTGATGCGGTAAAGCTGACAAAATGGCAAATCAATCTTTTGATTACCTTCTTGTGTAATTAAAGAAAATGGCTCGGAAAAACCTTGTCGTATTAACAAGTGAAGTGCAAGTGGACCGGATTTCGCCGCCTACCTTGTCCTTGTCTGTGACCACGGCGCCCAGTTCAAGTAACTTTTCCACAATGTTGTGCTTGTTGTCACGGGCAGCCAACATTAACGGCGTTAAGCCGTTGTCCTGTTAAAAAATAATAAGAAAAAAAGAAGAGAGATGAACCTTTAGTGAATAAAATTACAAACGCTCATTTTAAACGGCGGGAAAGGGGGTTTGAAGAAACAAACCTCTGCTTTGGAAGCCATGATTTGTTAGAGGCGCAACCAAACCAGTCGCGCGGCACGCAGTAATGAGATTTACGCCGTGCGCAATCAGCACAAAGCTGAATGGGAGCGAGCAGCTTGCCTGGCGAATTCAATATTCATTATTACGACCACTGTGTATTCAGTGGATTTTGGTCCTTTTGCAGAGGACGAGTTAACGAAATTAAAAAGCCATTAAATTCTACGACGGTTTTGCGGCGTTAAGTTACGGAACAAAACTTCACAATAGGACGAGTTTAAGGAGCAGCGCAAAACGTGATAAGCGTTCAGATAAATTACTGCTGTACGTCGCGTATGGCAATAACGAAACAATAACAAGCCTCAACCAAAAAAAGCGTTAAGGTGTAGGCTGAGGTAGTCTAGCGAGCGAGAGAAGGACAGTGTAACGAGAAATAGAACTAGCAATAATATCTTGGTTCAATAATGAATCTGTGTCCAGGTGCTTAAAAATTAAGACCGCCTAAGCCTTAATAACTAACTAAAGATCATTTCTATTCCATAATTGGTATTGTTAAGTTTCTTGGAACTTCTCATCCGCCCATCTTTGATCATAAAACAGCCGGTAAAAATTGTAACACTAAAATTTGCAATTTCGAACCACAAACCAATGAGGATGATGCCCGATGAGCGTGAAAAAAAAATCTCGAAATCAAAAGTGCTTTATCTACCGCGGGGTTTTTGTATTTCGAAGACCGCATTTTTGTGCGCAACAATGTATCAAAAAATTCTTAATATTGTGGAAGGATCATTCATTACTTCGACCTCCGTCGACGATACTTCCATGTTGTTTCGTTCCAGGCTGTTGAGGTGTTGATCCACAGCCGGCCAATCTCCCTTTAGAGAAAGCGCCAAAACGCGGTTTAAGAGTTCCCATCTAAGAATCGATGGCGGAGTTTTGGTATCAAAGAGTACTCTGGAGCCTCGTCGTGGTTGGATCTGAGCCACTGCTGAGTCCGTCCCTGGGCTTGGAGGCCTAAGCGATGGTCGGCGGCTCGAAGGACTTGATCCTGGTCCTCCATTCGGCATTGCAAAGGCTCCGGAAAAATTAATCAGTTCCTCACCACAGCGGGCTCTTACTTTCTATTAGCTCTGCATTCACGTTTTACTTATTCATTCAAGCTTTCTCTGAATAAATCAGTTGCCTCTTGCTGTTTATCAGGTCATAATTACTGTCATTTCGACGAAACATTCCGCCATGTAGAAGGTTGATCTATGGATGCGCATTTTGTGGTTCAGACAATCACCAACGCATCATTTTCTAGTGATTTAAGGTTCGAAACCGACTAAAGAAACTGCGCATGTGTAACAATTACAGCTTTGTTTTGAAATGATTACTAAAAATTACATTTTGCAACCACGCTCTAATTTTAAACCCGAAAAAAAATCAAAGCACATAAAAATCTCTTCGCCAATTAAATCCAAATTTATTTTTTATTACCTCCAAGTGCCATGCTTTTTTTCATGAAATTAATTCTCAACCCAAGGAAGTCGTTGAAATATCAAATAGAACGGTGTATTCATGTGTAATTTCTCCAATGTTTCCGATTTATTTGCATAAGAATGGATGCGCCAACTACTTCGGACACCTCAAATCGTTTGAAGATTGTCAGGCTTTGTATAAACACACATATAAGAGAGCGTCGATCTTCTCATTGTGATGCGGTTTTTATAGGAACAGGTGCGCAAATGACGAGGTGATAAAACGTGATATAGGGAACAGAGTAATGAGCAGTACATGATTCATCCATTAAATTAAACAGAAATTTTACTAAGCGAATGTATAAAAGTCAGGTTGTTGAGAAGCGCGTAAAACTTCCGCGTAATGAGGTATTCCTTGTCAACAAAGGAAAGGAATGTTTGTGAAAGTCGTTTGTTTGATATTTTTCTTATTTCCATTTGCAAAGAATAAGGAAACAGTGGATTTGTTGTGTCACGATTGAGGATCTTTGTAACATTTTACAGAAAGCAAAATAACGCGAATTCGGCTAAAGTCTTGCAATCGTGCCACTAAAAACACTTAACTAGCACTTAGACAAAACCCTTAAGACTTTGTTTCTTGGCCTCTTATTTGGAAAAAAAGTTTTCAGAATTCGTTTCTTGGTCTAATGTGTTCTATTCAATCAGCCGTTTCAAGGCGGAACTTTCCGCGTAAATTTCCTGCATAACTGAAACTGTCCGAGATCGAAGAAACTGAGTGATTGAATCATGTTCGCACGAGACTGTCTTTGAACTATCAGTTATAACTCTAGACGACATAAAGATTGAAATGATGAAGTATTAAAGATGGGAATCATTTGGCTGCGGAACCTTAAATATTTCGTAATTTTGGAGTAAGTTTCCCTTAGTACTCCTCCGTGAGATGTTTATCTTTCCACACTTGACTTTTTTGACGTTACGAACGTCTGAATTTAAAATCATTCAACTACCTTTGTTAAATAACCTCTGCTTTCACTCAAGTAAATTATTTACATTAGCTGTCAACAAGAGATATTCTGCTATTTTTCAACCTGGCTATCAAGAGGATTCTGAGAAAGGTGAAAAAATTAGGGTTGTTTTTTTTTCCCATAAACCTTTGCTGTAGACTTCTTTCGTAAATTTACTTAAGCCCCGCTTGAGAACAAAGTATTTCAGATACAAAATTTGCCATTTGGGTTTCATGATGTTCACAAAAACGTACCGTGATGAGATACAGAAAATTGAAGATAGGTAAAACAAAAACTGTTATCAAATGAGGTTAATTACGATAGGAACCATTGACATCTATTTTGTTCGTAAATGCAATATTTGCTTCCCGTGACGTAAGGTGAAATTCATATAATCGCATTGAATAGCAAATGAAAGAGTGCTTAGTACGAAAACTAGCAAATGCGGACTTGAATTTAGCCTACTGCTAAAATTGCAGCAAAAACAGAAACAAAGCGAAATACGTTTTGTGTAAATATAAGTATTTGCCATTGTCTCTTCGGATTTTAGAAGATGAACATGCACCTTAGCAATGACAAATGAAACTTCAAACCTGACACATCACATCAGGTTTAAAACAAGCAATAAACAGAAAGTAAACGTAAACCTACTTCAGTGCAGAACAAGGACGTCTCATTGATATAGTCTGAATCACTTATCCAACCTCCGTGAAGGCGAATACCGATCGGAGAACGAGCGCGACCTCTCGAATCTTCGGGAAGATCCATTCGGCGTTTCAAGGGACTGTGGTTTCCGAAAGTTGAGTTAACACTGACGTACACTCGAATTTGTCTTTCATATGAATCTTAGCGATAAAAGGACGATTCTCGCGTTTTTGTTTAGCGATCGTGTGTCATAAGTTAACCGATGACTTGTGTTGATAATATCATTGTCTGAGTTCATTGAAGATACCAGGTCGAACAAGACATCTCTTGGAATCACTCTAGCGCGTCCTAAAACGATTGTTTTATATCCCAACGTAATTTGGCCAAACAAGAAAGCTCGAGACAAAAGGCTGCCAGTCTAAAAAGCAGAAAGTTTTTCTCTTTAGAGACACATAATTGTCGCTAATAGCACCATAGAAAAGGTGTTTAGCAATGCATAAAATACTGCATTAAGTGAACGGACAGCGAAGTTTTAAGGAAGAGTAGAGGTCATTGAGCCATGTACACTTATATTAATGGACATAACTGACAATTCCACTATGCCTTAATGATAATCAAATACACCGAGTTACTTTACAGTTCGCAACTTCAGTTGTTTACGAGCATGACTCATGCACACTAACTCTAATGAACCATTTATTCCTACGTCACTGATACAATGCAAGTGCCAAAATAGCACAAAAACTTACATAAAAGCTACATCATTCATTTATGTGCAAAGAAACCTGTTAGTAAACTCTGTTTGCTTTCGTGCAAGTAGGTAGCCATGATTCTGATCTCTATAAAAGGATCAATAGTAAGTGTTGATTATCTACAAATCTTTTTCTTCTTTTTTTTTGCGTTACTTCTACGCATGAAGTCTTTTACCCTTAAGAGTAACAAGCAGCTCATCATTTTCTCCTGACAGCATCGCTGCCAAACCAAACATTGTGGTCATGACAATAACAGAAGTGATCGCCGACGAAAGGAGCTCTTATTAAACTGTTAAACAAATTCTCCGTTACATTACGATGGGAAATGTATAGAATACAGTATGGAGAAAATGCGCATTGATCACGGTTAGGGATGGTGAATTCAGTGTAAACGGCCGTCGTGGAGACTTTCTTAAACTCCTTGTCCGGCTCGCTCGTAGCTCGCTCTTTATTCGGTTTTGATAGCTGATATGTAAACACGACCATCGTGTAGCTACTTGTCTGAATAGAAAGAAGGCTGGTTTTTTTATATTTTTGACTTTGAAAGATCGTAAGTCTAGTGGTCATCAGCGTTCACGTTTACAGTTTCGTCGTTTCCGCAGGAAAGAAATCATTCGAGTAGGCCGGAGTCTACGATATAGTTTACCCTTGGTCAGCGCTGTCCCGTGGTAACATTGTGACATATTTCCTGTTGAACTGCAAATATTTTTTTCTATAATTTCATACCAAAGACATGATTTAAAGGAGTGCAGAAGACTCCAGATATCTCTTAAACAATTAATCCACCCTAAACAAATATAGATCTTATTAAGAGAGAAGAGAAGAGAGAAAGTGAAACTACGTTCTTCATAAATACCTTTTCCTCGTCCGTTAAATCATTCTCTGTCATAGCTCGCGGAGCCCCTGAACCTTTCCGAGATGTAAGGTATTTTTTCAGAGAATCGGGCACTGTTAGATTTTGGGCTTCATTTGCCGATGAAGGCATGACTCACGAAACAGCTCACAAAAAGAAAAAAAATTACCACTGAACGATTCAATAGGGTCAATATTAAACGTGGACTCAGCGGGATAAAACATGTACTGAGGCTTTGCGCCAGAGAAACAGCCACATTTTCACAGCGTGGAGTATTTCTTCTTTCATGTTTAGCAGTGTTTGAGAAATTGATGCAGTTGTACCATCGTCATGAGACCAGGAGCAAAAGAGAACTCAAACATTCGCAAACAACCACGTTGCACAATACGAAACACTTTGTGAAATTCCAATTTGCATTGTGGATTAAACAAACTTTAATTAAAACACTCGAAAAAGAAAAACACTTTGAAGTAATTTAACCATAATGGAGACGACATGGTTTAGGCATTCGGTGATCCACTTTGTAAGAAAAATCTTCTCTACGCTTCCAAAAAAACCAGAAGCATGTTGTTTGTCAGAACAGGCATTTCCTTCGCTGAACCCCTTAAATACTTCTGCAGCGATAAGCTTAAGAAGCCTAGCAACAGCAAACAGAAAGTCAAACGACAAAAGTACACAAACTTGCCTAATAACTGGGTAATAATCAGATGTTGTATATCATATATCGGGGGAGGGCGGTGAGGGCGGTGAGGGCTTGTATGAACCGCTCGAGAGGGTATGATCATGGGCGTCTTTAGTCTTTAACAAGATATGAAGTTTTACTGATAAGCGTTTTAAGAAATAATTTTTTTCTAGACCGGAAGACTTACCGAAGGGTTTAACTAGGCGGTGCAATCTATATTTGTGGCACTTTTTTTTTTTCAAATTTTATTTCTAAATTGAGTTTGAATAAGCTAGTTGTGACTCCCTCACGTCAATAAGACTCACGTTTATCCTAAATAGGGGAATGAAATTAATATGTTTTTCAACAGGGTCACACCCGTGCACCCTCCTTCCAATAAAAAAAAAACAAAATGCGCCGAATTTACGAAGCCTCGGCCGACTCGACTCTACTCAAAGTTGATTTTATATACAGAATACCTACATATATTGTCATTTGAAAGTAACATCTCCGTTTTCATTTTAAAATTCCTTAGCCGATTAAAGAGTTCTCATGACAAAGAGAGTTCTTAGTATATTAATAGCAAAAATAACTTTACAAACACGAAGACATTCGGGAGAGAGCAGTGCTACCTGTGGTTAGATAAAGCAGTTCGTGATAACTACTGGGTAAAGAAAAAGTGTGGTAGTTTTCTTTTCCACTGAACCGTTTATGTTCGGCCAGTTTTTATTGTCCACACGAACATTCCGCTCATTACACCCAAGAGTGGATTTGAGGTAGACAAATGAACGGATTTTCTCTCTTACAAGGTCAGCATAAGCTTGCGGGACAGGCGTGAGAACTTCCTGCTTGAAATCTTATCGACATTGTT